CTCCTTCTTTTCCAAGATGGTCTCGACAAACGCCTGGACGAGCCTACACGCCTCCCGGCTTCCCAACATCAGGTCCACCAAGGACCCGACTCGGAGCGTGGACCCCAGACGAAACTCCAAAGAGTCCCGTTCCTGGGCCTACACCTCGCACCGGTAGAGGGTGTGCAGAGCGTTGTCTGCCTCTCCCGGATGATCCCGGTAGTGGTCGCACGTAGGCGCGGCTCTTCTCCGAATACCGTGGAGATATTCGTTGAAGCAGCTGTGGCCGGACATCACTTGCGTGAGACGGTAAGACATCTCACCGTGTGTCCGGTCCACCCACCTCTCCAGGCGGTCGGGTCCAATGAGGGACCTGGTCCATTCGCCTCTCAAAGTCTCCTCCGAGAGGCGAGCCCGCCACTGGAACATGGTGGTCTATCGGAGCGCAAGCCGGTCCTCGGGTTCTGAATATTATTTTGTGATTGCGTAGAGTATAGAATACATGGTTGTCCGACTATCGTCGAACACAGGAATGTGCTGACTAAGGAATTTAGGGCAACCATGGGAAAAGGACTCCCACTGTAGGTCCCCTACAGTCACTCGTAGTTTAGTATCAATACTATCATAAAAAGTAAGAGTTGCATATTGAAAAAAAGCTACTAAATAAAGCAATTAATTTTTTTCTGACCAACTATTACTTTCTGCTGCCCTATTGGATGATTTCAAAAATACATCTATTCTCTCATTTCTGCCACCCGAAAAGATTAGTGGATTATAGAATAAATTTTTATACATCTTTGTTATATATTTATTTACAATTAAAAAATTTTCCTTCTATAAACCTTTTTCAAAATAATCACTAAATTCATTTTATTAAACTTTTTGTTTTAATTTTAATTTAGTTTCTAAATACTTTAAAAAATATATATGTAACTCCGCTATCCGGAGTATTTTTATACACTCTACAGCTTTTATTTGTTCTTTAATTGTACCTAATAAAACAATTTCACCTACTTCTTCAGTTATAGAATTATTTTCCATATTTTACGGGAATAAAAATTTTTTGTTTAATTAATATTCTATTTTTAATTTTGTTATATTTCATAATGTTCTATCTTTTGTTTCATAATATTTTACACATTATTTAATAATGTAAATAAATAACATAAATTTTATTACCTTATGTTTAACCCATTACTATTACATTTGTTTGTTATTTTGTGTTTCTTTTATATTATTAGTATATGCTTTTTAAACAAAATTACATTAGTACATTTTAAATAATTTAAAAGTATATATGTAGCTTATTGTTATATTTTAACAAGTGTCATGTTATTAATTAAAATCTTAAATAGTACATTATTACAATTACGATATAATGTGTATATCATAACAACCGGGACTGAAAAGGTTTATTTTTATTTTAATTTTCGATAGTATGTAAAAATTTTATTTATGGATTAATACACGTCAATACACAGAAGACACATTAGAATTGAATTATTAATAACTTTAGATATCAAAAAGTTAGAAAATTTACTATATTATTAAGAATAACAAACTTATAGTTTGAGTAAGTAACATAATATTATAACGAAATAATCAAATACCAATATATATATATATATATATATATAACAAAAATTCTATTAGACCTATAAATCATTAATATTATATTTCTCGTAAAACATTGATACGTACTATTTATGTAATTAATTCTTTTACTTAATGAACATTCTATATATTGATATACATAGCACAACCATGTTCAAGAATAGTTTACTAAATACTGCCCCTCAACATTTGACTCCAAGTTGAATCATTAGCTACATACGAAGGGCAATGGTTGTTACTCTCTACTGCAGTATGAAGCTGTCGGTTCATTACATGGGAACGAAGTGGAAAATTTTTATGCCTAATTTATAATTATACAATTGTTACGAGTAGGGAAATAACAAAACTTTTTTAGCATTTTTCAAAAAATAGATTTACTATTCTCTAAAATTCTATTATATAAAAACCACTAGTTTCATGGTGTATTATGACCATCAAAAACTATTCTGTTTATAATTGTATTACTATAACTTTAACTCGTAAATCATTTATTATTGGACTTTTAAAAAATATCTATCGAAAATAGGATTTAAGTAATAATAGTTTAAATATTGTTTTTAATAATTTTTTCATGCCTAATTCTAACTTTAATTACAATTTTATTTTTTAGAGTTGAGAATAATATTTGCGATACTTATTCACCAGTGTTTTCTTTTTTTTTTGGCATTTTTTATAATTGAAAATACTTCAATAATGGTTATGATCATATGCGTAAGTTAAAACTTTTGAATACTTTAACCTTAATGAGAAGTTGAGAAGACAATAATTGTAGCATGACGTGTTTATTTATTTTTTTTTTGTGTCTTCGTTACAACACGTCCAAATATCAAAAATCGTATTTAACAAAAGACATTACCTCTAATAACTTAAAAAAATTCCTTCATTCACTGTAAATAGAAGAAATCCACCAAAATGTACCATATTTTATAATCGGTTGTCTTTTCTAAACAATTTTTTTTTAGACTACCATAACTTTTTAAAAAAGAATGAATTAAAAATATTTTACCTTAGGTGCTTCCTTGTTCATTCGGTACAAATTTTTGGAAAATATGATCTTCTATCGGCGCACTGGAACTGATAGTACCAACCTTCCCTTAAAATGTTAATCTATTCAACTTAAATTTTGAAAACTCTTTTGACTTTATTAATATATATAAATATTAAATTTGCTATTGATTATTATAAGTTCAAAAAATGACACACTAAATCCCGTCACCTTGTCTTCTTTAGATAAATAATCTTTAAAATTAAAAAAAATCAATTTTTTTTAAATTAACTTGCTTATATAGTTCTATATGAGGGAATGGTTCAGACCCTATTTTACTTCCTTTTACATATAAAATTGTAAAAATTATTTAAGTGTAAGTTATACAAATTTTGAAAAAGAAATTTTAATGTCAATCTAATAAGTATACTATAAAGAAGGGGATGCCCTTTAAAAATAAAATGTTCTAGCTAGTTATGTCTTATGATATATAGATTTAACCTAACACAGGGTGATTCATTTAATATTTATTGGTTATCATTTATAATAATAATTATGTTAAGTAAATCTTTTTTGGTATTTTATAGTTTCGTATACTACTAGATTTATCAATTATTTAGTATTTCTTTAATTCATGCTTATACCTTATAAATTTGTCATTTTAATTTTTTTAATGGAATTATGCATATTTAACTAGCTATCAAAAAAAAAAAATTATTCAATTATAAAATGACTGGTCGATAGCAATTTTTATCAAGTATTTCAGAAGTTATAAATTTTTACACGTGTTGGAGAAAAAGTACATTTATCAAAAAAAAAAAAACAATATCCTTTTCTCACATCTAATACATTAAATTATTAATATCTTCCGAAATAATTATTCAATAGTTATTATCGATTATTAACTTTCAATTTTCTATTTTATATCATTTTTAAATATATATGTTGCCACCATTTATTGAAATAAAACATATATAACATAAAGCAACTTTTTTTTTTATTATAATTAATCATTAGATAATAGCATTTTATTGTACACCGTTGCAATTTTTAGTAGTTATTTTATTGTAGTGTTAAAATACAAAAATAGTATTGTCTTATATACCACAATAACCTTTTTAGATTCCAAATATGCCTTTAATGATGAAATATTTACCTATGAGTCATTTATTGTTGGGTTTGACAACATTATACATATCATGTAATGTAGTTCTATTCTGATTTTAATGATGAAATTATATAGACATTTCAATCTTCTTAGTATGAATATTAGAAATGATTACTCACTATGAAGTATGAGTTACATCAACAATTCATTTTAATTTTTCATTAGGTGTAATAGTTTACGTAGGAATGGTAACTGTATAAAAATTAAAAAGCTAATCAATTTCAGTTTTTTTGAGATAAAATTAATTTACGATCAGCTTGTGGATGATATTTTGAAGAGTTAAAATATTATAAATACTAACTTATAAAAATATTCATAGTAAAAATTCGCAAGTATGTATTTAGGAAATATATTTTTTTCATTAACATTAAATAAATAATATTTCAAATATCTCAATACTAGTTGTATATGAGATATAAAAAAATATTATTAAAAATATTAAAAGCCAAACATTGTAATTAATATTATAATGAATAATAATAATAATGATAAAATAATTAAATAATAGCTGTTAAATTAAACAGTTTTTGTCCGACTCTAAGAAGTTGGGATTAAGGCAAGGAAAAATAAAATCATTGTTACATTAAACAAAACCTATTCAGTTAGTTGTTAAAATAAAATAACTTTGAATTATTACCAATAAAAACACAAAACATAGACAATATTCAAATTGAAATTGAAGGGTTTCGAATAAAGAAAAACGTGGAAATTACATAACAATTTAATAAATACTCACGAGTAACATAAGTTTTTTTTTTTCCTCGTCTTAATCCCAACTACTTAGGTTCGGCCAATTATCATGTATAACATAAGTATTGCACAATACTTTTAATTTTAAATGACGAGAATTTACAAAAAGAAAAAATGTTTTCCAGCGAAAGCCTTATACTTTAGTTAAGTTATCATTTATATAATAATTGATTGAGTAATTTTTTTTAATAAATAAGTTATATAATTTAATGATTTTTTTTAAATAATAGTAAATTTTTTTTTGAAAAAAAAAATTCGTAATTTAAATTTATATTTGATAAGTGTTAAAGATTGAGTAGGTAAAACATTTTTGTAGTTTTATAATGCAATCTTCTAAACAATACATAAAAATTTAGTATTTACTTAAAATATGTAGGTATATAGGTTATAAATGATTCCACCTCCACTATTTTGTGCGACTGTGGTTAAAACAAGCAAACCGGTAGTAAGAGATAACGTTTACAATAATATAGTTAAATATTATTGGATTTTACGATTAGTACGGCTTCTGCTAATGCGATTGCAATTTCTATTTCATTTTTATAATAACTTGATCTCTCGTCAAGTTTTTATAGTATTAAGTTCAACAATAAATTTTTTTATAGATAAACTGTAGAAATATTTTTTTTTAATATGCCAGATTTACAAAAATTTGAAGACCACCGTAGATCGATTCCAAAACGAAATGCTATACCTATCCATTATGTAAGGGGCACTCATTATGAAGTTGGTTACAGCATGGTAAGTTAATAATTATAATTTTTTAATGTTTAATTAAGAAAATCATAACATAGCTGTATATAATATTATATATTATAGTTTTTGTATATTAACGAATTGAAAACAACAGTTTGTGATAATAATATAAATAATTTAACAGATTTAAAATTTTGTTTCGTTAAAATAAAAAGTTTGTATTATTAAATAATTTTTACTCAAGTTTTTGAACATCAAAATCGGCGAACTATAGTAATTTCACTATTTACCCTACTGTTACACTGTTGCCCTAACAAACTATGTTCAAAAACCTGAAAGTCCTCTTGGATAACTGAAATAATAACTTAATACGGAACAATTCACATTTTAATCACTGTAGTGAAGTAATGATTATTAGTTAACCTTTTTAATAAATATAGATGTACACTAGGAGATGACTATAATCTCTTTCAACATACATATATATTTTTCTAATCTATTTATCAAGCTTACAAATTTAATGAACTTCTTTTAATTGTTATTTTATAATTTGGAAAGAGAATAGAATTATAAAATATTAACTGAAAAAATTTTGTGAGTTGTTATAACCTTTTAGATCTCTTTAAATACGCTACCGATATGTTTATTTATTTATTTAATTATTTAACGCCAAACGGCAGTTTGCAGGAATAATATTATGATAACATAATATAACAAAAAGAAGAGAGAAAAAAAAAAGAAATGTACATGCATATATGTAAAACATAGAGTAAGGAACTATGACAACAAAATAACGATGACAATAAATTTAAAATTTATAAGATAAATATAATTTATAATTAATATAAGGCAGTTTAATTTTATAAAAGTAAATGTGACCAAAACACTAAGTATTATGTTATTTATGTTAATATATTATTTAATTAATTTTTAAACTATTTTAATTATTAACTAATACTATCATACTTATATCATATTAACTTAATTTTATATTGAAAATAACAGGTCTTTACATTGTAAAATATCAATTGTTTTTTACAATGTATCAATTTATTCAAATGAATAAGTTAAAAACTTCCATTACACAAGAAATGGAATATTTGTATATAATAAAATAATAAAAATTGATCACTTGTGGCTAATTAATTAAGTAAAATTAAAACTATATTAAAAATATTATTAATTTTACTATTAATACTATTATACTAATATATCTATTAAGACACAAATTTTTAAAAAGTGTAAATAATACATAATACTTTGAAACGAACAAAAAATGAATAGTAACTAAAATAAAGTAATTAATATGTTTTAATAATCGTAGTTCACTTAAAATATAACTACATTGTACTGAAAATATTAGGAATATGTATTATTATTTATATATCGTCATGGGCGCTCGCAGGAAATTTATCAGGGCGGGGCCAAAAAAAATTTAATACCAAAAAGTAAAATTAAATAAAGTGTTTATTAATAAATAAATAAATATATATATATTCATTAGTCATTAGTAAATAAAAATTGAAGTCTTCGCGGTTGTTCTATTGCAAATCTTGTTATTAACTGTTCAATGAATTGATTTTTGCTTGCCTTAACTTTTTCACGATGTACACTTAACATACATAAACCATTTAATCGGTCTTCACTTGTCGTGGATCGAAGCCAAGTTTTTACTCTTCGTAATGTACTAAAAGTACGTTCTGCAGTGCAGCTTGTAGCTGGTAAAGATAGGAAAATTTCTAATGCAATTGTAATACCGGGGAAAAATATTTCACTATGTTTTAGTAAATCTATAATGTCCATACTTTGAAAATCTTTTTTTTGCCAATAAACATACCAACTTTCACTTTCAACTAAAAAATTTTCAATTTTATAAAAACTATGAATGTTTGTTAAAATTTCAACGTACTCTTCTTTTTTCATTTTTTTAAATAATGCTGGATGAAGGTATTGTAATGAAAAAGCAACACTATTACCTTTTTCAAATCTTTGCTTGATAGATTGTATTATTGATTCGAGATATGGTACAAAAACCGATACTCTATAATAGTCTTCGGGAGTTTCACTTGGATAGTTGTTTCTATGTAACTGTTTTCCGGTAATTCTGGGACAAGTAATAGTAAGATCTAAATCATTTGCTATAGATTTAGCGTTAATAAATAATAAATTAAAGCTTTCAATTGCATTTATTCTATCACTTTCAAACATTTCCAATAATGTCTCCATATGTTCCCGAACTTTATAAAGTTCTATTGATTCACCTTGTAAAATATTAGTAACAGGTTCCAAGATAGCGCTGTATTTTGCAATTATAGTCATTGTTATTATAAATAAAAAATTTGAGGCTGAGAAATATAAATAAAAAGCACCTTCTCTTGTATTAGCATTTGTCATATCATTTATGGATAAAGATTGGAGACTTTGAATTATTGTAATAAAATTTTCAGAAAATACTCTAATACTTTTATACTTTGAAGACCAACGTGTTTCACAAAATAGTGGTATGTTAGGTATTAGTTTTCTTCGAAGTGTACTTTCACGATAAAATTTAATAATTTCTTTAATTGTNCTTCACGATAAAATTTAATAATTTTTTTAATTGTGCCTGTAGTATTACGAATAACCATAATTTTGTTTAAGTCATTAATAACTAAATTTAATCGATGACTAGCACAATGAAAAAATAAAGCTTTGGCATATCGGTCCCTAATTAGTTTAGCAACACCACTTTCTTTTCCAGCCATTGTAGCACAGCCATCATAACCTTGTCCACAAAGTTTAGTTAAATCAAGACCACAATTCACCATAAATGATAATATTTGAGTAGCAACCGATTCTGAATCTAATTTATTTAAGGGTAAGAAGCCTAGAAATTCTTCTCGTATTTTAAAAGGATTTGACTGTTTGTCTAAAAATCTAATTACAATTGTCAATTGCTCAACACAAGAAATATCTGCTGTTTCGTCGGCAATGATAGAAAACGCATTTGCGGCATTGGCTTCACACACTATGTTTTCTTTTAATATTTTACAACACAATGTTATTAGTTCATTTTGTGTTCTATGAGATGAATATTTAGCATTTCCTGCACAGCTTAAAAAATGATTTTTTAACATCTCATCGCCTGAATCAACACGAAAATGTAGAAGATCATGAAAATTACCTGAATCTGTTTTTTNTAGAAGATCATGAAAATTACCTGAATCTGTATTTTTCCCTCGCAAAGCAATGTCACGAGTTCAACAAAACACAATGGTTGATACTATGGATTTTAATTTTTTTCTGTTGGTTTCTATTTCTTTTTGTAGTCTAATATTTACTTGTTCAATCACACTAATTTTTTTATCAGTCATAATTTCCATAAAATCTTTAGCTCTAGACATTGATTCAGAATGCCACTTTGAAGATATATGTATTTTAGAAAAGTTATGAAAATCCTTGTACTTAGTAAACGGTTTTATTATAAATTTACCTTGTACACCTCTGTGAATAGATGGCTTAAACAGCACACATACTCTACAAAAAGCTTTTTTCACACCCTCGACTGCTGAATAAGTTAACCATGAACTGTTTTCGTGCAACCAATTGTGCCTAAATGCACGAGTATTTCCTGGTTTCAAATCACTTTTAAAGTTATAATTAGTGTTGGGTACCCAAGGATGAAGCAAAAGTTCGAATTTCAAAGAATTGTCAATATTTTCTTGAATTAAATATTTTCCAATATCTTTTTCATCCGTTATCCCATCACTAATAACCTTACTTTTTGTATTTATAGCAATCGATATACTTTCAACTTCACACGATTCTGTATTATTTATTTCAATTAATGAAGTTGAGGGTTGATTATCAAAATCACATAACTTAGATTTTTTGAAAAAAATTCTGATGTCCATAATAGTATAATATTAGACAATCGACTATATAAATAATATTTATATAGTCGATATAATTATGATTTATAAAAATAAAACTTACTATAAAAATACTTATAAATGTATAGTATACAACGTACTGTATTTAGGCAGCTTTGTTTGCGTGTTTCATTAAAGGAAGCGTGCTGACAAATAAAACCAGAATAGTCGATCGTCACTCGTCGTTCCATTATGGAATTTCCGTACAAATTGATAAAAACCTCTCAAATATACTAGACAATAGCCGATACCTATTACGAATAGACAATAATGTAACGGCATATGACGATAAAACCCATTAAGTCAATAAAAATAAATACATCTAGAAATCCGGTTAGATTTTTTTGTTTTATAAATAAAATTTTCAGATTATACAAATTTAAATCAGATTGGTTATAATTTTTAAAAATGTATTTCCAAAGNAATTTTTTAAATGTATTTCCAAATCCAGGGGGGGGCAAACGCCCCTTCTTGCCCCCCTCCTGCGAGCGCCCATGTATATCGTTCAATTCGTTTTCCTAATTTCTATGAATATTTCATATTCCCTGAAGTTTAAAAATATTGCTATTCATCATATATACTAGTTCTACATTACATTATCCCTTTAAATTTTAATAATAATTAGTTATCAATAATTATTATTAGGGGTAACTGCGGTCACCTTAATAAAAATTGTTATATCTCCGGTTCTAAGATTCTAAATGTTATGCTATTACAACAAATGAGTGCATAAACATATTGACTGCATTACATCAACGTTTCATATTTTTAAAACATAATCTTATATATATATATACAGAATGGAACGGATCTAACTGACAACTCATATAACTTGTAAACTACATAAAATTTTATACTTTTTTTTTTTAAATCAATCTTTACAATATAGAACTATATTTAAAATATGTTTTAGGTTATTTTTCATAATTAAAAAAAATATTTTAAAAATTAATTTTTTTATTAAAATTTTTTTAAAGATTTTAATATAGCCATTTTAAGGATAAGTTTTAAAGAAAAATTTTGATACCAAAAACTCTTATTTTAATTTAGTAGTTACGTTTATACAGCATTTTGAAATTTGTTAAATTTTGATTTTTTATACAATTTTCTTATGGTATCAAATGTTAGTCCACGTTATGTTAAGTGCAGAAGTAAACACTTATTACATTATTTACTGGTAACAGTACGTGGTTTCTTTTCCATGAAAATTATTAACATTTGAATAAGCATTTGTAATTGACATGAAAATACAATTAGTAGTATAATTCAGATTATTAAAAAAAATTATAGAAACATTGTCAAAAACATGTTGAATTTTTAATTAAATAAGTTCATATATCATAAATTGAAACGTGAATAATAGTGCATTTATTATCAAATATCCTAACAAGGGATATCCTATAATAATATGATTACAATGATAGAATCACGCAAATTAATAATTGTTATTACTTTTAACTTGGCCAATCATAGAACACTCGTAGTTCATACTTGATAATGTTTCTAACTTTTGTAATAAAGATTAGAGATAATAATTTCTGTATAAAGCGCGTTAAGCGTTATTATTATCCATGGAAAAGAAATCACGTACTGTTACCAGTAAATAATGTAATAAGTGTTTACTTCTGTACTTTACATAATATGGACTAACATTTGATACCATAAAAAAATTGTATAAAAAATCAAAATTTAACAAATTTCAAAATGCTAAATACTAAATTAAAATAAGAGTTTTTGGTATCAAAATTTTTCTTTAAAACTTATCTATAGAATGGCTATCTTAAAATATTAAAAAAATGTTTAATGAAAAAAATTAATTTTTAAAATATTTTTTTTAATTACGAAAAATAACATAAAACATATTTTAAATATAGTTCTATATTGTAAAAATTGATTAAAAAAAAAAATATATATAAAATGTTATGTAGATCATAAGTTATATGAATTGTCAGTTGTAATCGTTCCATTCTGTATATATATATTTATAAATATATATATTTTTTTAAAGCAAATGACCGGTATTACCCTTACCCTGAGGGAATATCGGCCATACATAAATACATGCAAAAAATATACGGATAAAATAATTTTCAAAAAAATCACTAAAATATAGTTCATATAAATTATAAATATACAATAGTTTGATTACCTTAAATTAAATTTCTTAACAATTTTTTTTAAATAAATAAACGATGATAACTAATTTCACACAATTAAACGTGAAAACGTTTATTTGATACTATCATTCTAATAATAATGAAGTTTTTTTATCATTCTTAATCTATACATATGGTCAACATAATTTTAGATGCATGGGCTTATTAGATAATGAGGTGACCGGTATTATCCACTGACCATAGTTTCCTCAGTCTCCCTTACATTTAATTTAATACTATCAAAACTTTATCAGCTATAATAATGTCTATATCTAGCGATACATGACCGCTGTATTAATAAAACCTTGAAAAAAAAAAACAAATATTTTATTTTAAAGTGAGCAATATGTAATGAGTATTGTCAAATTATAAGTGGTCCAAAAAAAAAATATCATTTCTGACATTGTAATTTTATATTAAAATTAGTATTGATAGAGAAAAAAATTCACTTATAATTAAAGCTATTTCATGTTAAGACTTATATAAACCTTGACTAGATGATTATAAATCTACAATTTATTTTCGTAATTGTTTAAAAAAACAGTTTTAAGCTAAAATTACGTATACGTATAATCGTCAATTAAATTATAGTGTTTCGTTTTTCCAGGAAACCCACCACCTATTAAAACAAATTCTTGTTTTAAAAATTATTAATTTGAAGCCTTGACATTAACCTTAGTTTAATAAACCGGATATAAATATGTTAAAATATTTTTAAAAAAGTGAGATGTCATCAAATGGCATCAAATAATGTAATAATTTTCAAAGAGTAGTATTTATGAATAAATTAAACATTTAGTTTTACACATAAACAGCCAAAGGTAATACATTTTTTTTTACCTAAAAAAATGTTATATTATTCAATTTAAATGGAGATCTGAGCGCACTTATCAGTTAAAAAATTGTATATTTCATAGCATAGAAGTAGAAGGATGGGGGTTAGAAAGCTTTTTTCTATTACTATTTTTATTTTATTTTTTCACATAGTTCAAAAAAATAATTTGATTACATTTCACCCCATTCTAAATGCAATATGTACAAATAAATTTACTATAGAGTTTTCATTTATTTTTTTCTTCGTTTTTAATTGATGTATTTTATTAAAATAAAATAGTGTTAAGGAGGTCATATAAAACATAATGTTCTATAACGGAAAACACCTTTACCACCTTAGATTTATATTCTTCGACATTCCAACAACCGGCTATTACTCCAACATGTGAAATCCCACCTCATCATGATCTTTTTTTATCATTAAGGACTTTTAAAAAACTTTAATTTGGTGTAGATTTGAAGAATATAGACGACTTGAACATTTTTAAAATTGAATTTAGAAACATTTTTAATTTAAAAATTCCTTTTAAAGGAAGCCAATTGTCTCTAGTATATTTATTAAATTTCATTAGATTCAGTATTTATTAAAAATATTTATGGTAGTTTTAAAATTTAGAAATTATATGTTGAAAATGTAACTTTGTAATATTTTTTAAATTTCTAAAATTGAGGGTTTTTTCAAATTTTTAGTACTGATAATGTCAATTAAATTTAAATCAGGTTTTTTGATGTATAGATCAATTAAATTCATCCAGTGAGAGTTTTCATCGGCAGACAAAGAAATAACCCTTCATGGTAAATATTTTCTTAGATTCACATTGAAGCAAAAATGTATGTATACTGTGTGTGTGTTATATTTATTTTTATTAAAAATATTTAAAACTTTTTAAGATTTTAAATAAAATAACATTTTTTTTTATTCTTTTACATAGTATTCATATACAATAGAAATAATAACAACTTCATGTTTTATTAAAACGTGATTACTTGATTAATTATTAAAATTATTATACATGTCGTAGTAAATCAAAATATCAATGAAATTATATGAAGGATATACATACCTCAAGAAAGATAATAACTGCATGTATTTACGTATAAAGTGTTTATGAAAATTATTATTTATACAGTTATTCAAATTATAGCGACACTCAATTCTTCAGTATAATTCTAATTCAATCCCATGAATATTATAACTTTAATTTAACTGAAATTAATATAGTCAATAAAAGCGGAAGGTATAAGGTAACATAGTTATTTTAATAGCTACCAATGAGATTGATAGATTCAGAAAAATAATCGTTTATTTATACTTATTCTAATGGTGTTCTACTTGATATTACTAATGTCAAGGTCACCAGGAAGTTTGTAAATGACTATGTCATTGTCGGATGTATTACATAACAGTATAAAATTAATAGATATGTAACTTTGAGATGGAACAACAATCGGGTTGCGAGGAAATTTCAAAACCTAGAATTATAGTTCTATAGAAATACTGGTCCAATATATGTTATCGACCAGTCATATTCTTAATTAGATCATTATTTATTAAATAATCTAATTATTTGTGTTGACATTTGAGAAATTAAAGTTAACAACTTTATAAGGTATAAGAGATGAACATACATTTTTTTATGACTGATACACTGAGATAAACATTAAACTAAAAGAAACCAATAAAAAATTATTTTTATTTTTTGATGAAATTTTTATAATATGATTTTTTTTTAAATAATAATAATAATTAAAAAAAATATTTTCTGATTTTTTTAGTATTATTGATTTATTAATTTTAAGTGGTTAACAATAAATCAATTATCCTGTATATATATAGAATAATAATATCTAAGAATTCAGGTATTATATATTTTTTTAATATATAATGTATATATAATTTAATATATGGCTACTATAATAGCCAAACTCATAAAATATTAATATATAATATATATTATATAACTCCAGACTTCAATGCACGGTCATTATTAAAAAAGTTTTCACTATTTTATTTATAGGGTAGAACATTTGGACAAATGATTAAAGAGTTTATTAAAGATTACACACCATTACAAGAAGAAAATTTGAAATTATTTATGGAACCTGAAGGTCAAATTATTTATGAAGAAAGTCTGGAACTAACTAGAAAATATTTTCCGCAGTACATTATTGAATTACAAGGAATTGCTGATGGAGCACAAGTATCATTTGAAGAAGTAAGTTTATCATCTTGAAACTAATCAGTTTACAAATATTGTTTTAAATATATTGTTAATTTTAAGCTTTTTTTAATGGCTTTGGATGATACTTTGCCTTTAAATATGAATAAGAACTATGTGGACAAGGGAGCTGTGGGATGTACATCGCTTATCATAAATCAACCAGATGGACAAGTAAATACGAATACTAATACATTTTTAACTTCAATTTGAGAAATGTAATTTAAAGTAAGGGTTTTCTTTTTTTTTAGTACTTAGGACACACGGAGGATGCATTAGCTGAAACCGAGGACAACTATTACATTATAGCAGCTCACGTTATGCCTGGCGAGGATGAATTGAATGGCGTGTTTCAAGCTCGAGAAGAAAAATTTGAAGCTCTAGCATATGCTGGTCACTTACCAGGATATGCTAGTGGACATAATTTTCATGGAGTAGTATTTTCTATAAATACGATATTTGTAACTAAACCTCTTAGAGGTCGAATTCGTTAGTTGAATATATTTTCATTATTATTATAACTAAAAACATCGATAATCATTCTTAAAGTTATTTAAATATACTTTATTTTAATTATAGCAAGAGAGTTTATTACCCGCGCTTTACTATCATCAAGAGCAGATATGTCACAAATCGTTGAAATATTGACTAATGAGGGTGCAGGTACAGCTGATGCTTTCAATGTAAATGTAGCTTTTGTTAATGTACCAAAAGAGTCCCGTGTATTTTACTCTATTGAAGTTATTCCAAGCGTCAGTGAATTTAAGTCACAAGTGTATCCAGTAGAGTTTATACCAGGAAATAATTCATTACACGCAAACAGGTTTGTAAAGTCAGACCTATAGACTTTGTGTTATTATAATGTGAATCATTTCATATCCAAAACAATTGTACAAATCAGATGAAACATATTGTTTTATTAAACAATTAAATTGTTATAATAATAGGTTATTATTTACAGTCAAAATGTAAAAATATTTTAGATTACTTCATCTTAAGTATCCTGAAAGTAAGGATATACGATCATACGAGAGCAGTATAAATAGAGAATGTCGATACCAGCAACTTTCTAAATGCAAAATCCCAAGAAAATTAAATGATGTATTGGAAATATTGGGCGATGAAGAGAATGGTATTTTTAGTATTTTCAGGAATCAGCCAAACGAACTTGTAAAAACTATTCATTTAGGTAAGAAATATAAATAATACGGTAAAAATGACTGAAGTTATAGTATGCAGAGTGTTTAGGAAACAGGGTAATTATTACTAATAATGAAAACAATAGAAACTCGTTTCCTTACACACTGAACACTCTAAGACTCACTATAATTCTGTTATATAAAACCAATGAAGTGTTTAATATAAAAAACAAATGCATTTATAAAAATTTTAACATTTATATTTAATTATATAATTATTTAATGAAATATTTTATTTTGTGTATCGATACAATGTTAGAAAGTCAATTTTCCTATATAATCAATAAAACACTTTGTATAGTTATAGATCATTTTCACTGTACCATTGTTAGATTTTTAATATTATTCCTAAGGAGTTCTCCAAAATTAATAAGATTTTGATATAAATAAAGAATATGTCAAAAAACATTCAACGTAACTAAAAAAATTTCAATTTTGTATTTATTTTGGAAGTAATTGAGTAGGTTATAATAATCGAATCACTTGGTTTATACAGAGTGATTTAGTAAAACACTGGTTACCTCAGGAGATATTGAGAATTTAAAAAAACATAACAATTTTGTACTTTTAATATTTTTATCCGAACCGTTTGCACTTTAGGATCGTTCAAAGAATTGGATATCAAGTAAAAATCTTTGATTTGGTTTTATAATACCGGTAGCAGCATAATTTTTTTAAAAAACTACAACATATTGTTGATAACTTTCATTTAAAGGATCGTAAATTTTTATTGCTATCTTGTTTATCATCTCTAGTCAATAAAAAATGGTTTAAGTAATAACTTGAGAAAAAATGAATACTATCATATTAAAACAGTGATATAACAATAGAATTTTGGTCTGAAATCACTTAAATTTAACATGTCGTAACATCGTTACAATTGAACGATTGATAGATCGGGAAAAACACGATAAGAACAATATTGATTTAAATTTTTTTTATCATACTTTTGAAGAGATTTTGTTTAAGAAATTTNCGATAAGAACAATATTGATTTAAATTTTTTTTATCATACTTTTGAAGAGATTTTGTTTAAGAAATTTATACTTTAATTAATTTTTATGAATTATTTTTGAAAAATAAGAATATTTTATTGAGCATTATTGTATAGTTTTTTGAGCGTAATATCTTTATATAAAGAGTGGCCCACCACTCACTGACAACTTAAATAACTTTTGATCCAGTTAATATTTTTAGATGATTTTTTTTT